CCCATTTGCCCCACCCTATTACACTGTTTGCAGCTGCTGCTGAAGAAACCATATTTGCCACAGAAGTGCAGCTGCTGGTAGATAAAATCACTATCAGGGGCTATACTCTTTGGTCAGAAAAAAATAATTGTTTCCTAAGTTGTACTCCGGTGATCTAGGTCTGGGGGCTGCTCCCCTCTCCCCCCTTTCCCTGGCCTCACGAGTCCATGCTTCCTTTTCTAACCATTCAGTCCTCTTATATTTTGAAAAATACACTTGAGACAAAGTCATAAGAGCAAGGTAAGCCACTTCAGCACATGTATGCTGCTCCTGGTACACATTACTAATGTTATATACTCCACATGGAATAGTTTATAGGAAAATGTATTTGTGTGGCTTTTGCAGAAGGGATGTCCGTTAACTCCATGCCGGAAGCATGGATGAACCAGTGGCATGGTTTTCCTTTCCACAGATTTTCCTTTTCACATTTAAGTAATTAGTATACATTCATTTAAAATATAGATGTGCCTTGGGGGATATATCTTACTTTTTCCCTAGTGCTGAAAAGAACAAAATTTGTTGTTCAACTGCACCAAGCTTCCTGCAGCATGGTCCTTGGAAGGCTTCTGTACAGGGGTCAGAAGGAGATGGGAGCAAGTCCTCTATGCATACATCAAAAGGGTACAGTGTGACTTAACGGCAGCCTTTATTTCTGTAAATGAGTTTTCCAAATCACCGTGAAGTTATTGTGAATCTGACTGGTCACTAAGGCTCTACTAAGGTGCCTCCGCATACACTTTCAACAAAAAGTCGCAAGATAATAAATGTTGTTGAAAATTGTTTTCACATCACTGTGCCTTTCAGTGTTATTTTACAATAAATATAACTGAATCAAACTACAAAGATAAATGCCAAACTATGAATCACTCTTTGACAACTTTTTGTAAAGAATCTTTACCCATTCTTCTTGCCTAGTTCTAAGAATGAACAACAGGAGCAAAATTGACAGGAGACTACAGGAAAAATATGACTCTGGAAAGACCTGGACTGTGACATCTAACCACAAATGTTCCTCTTGCTCACAGGGGTCGTGGAGGTGTACCACCCCCACCAGCAGGAGTACCACGGGGGGCACCTGCTCCTAGGGGGGTACCTCCAAGTAGGGGCCCGGTCAGTCGTGGTCGTGGACTTCTAGCCCCCAGAGCAAGAGGAGTTCCCCCGCCTGCAGGTTACCGGCCTCTTCCACCACCGCCAGCACAGGAAACGTACGGAGAATACGTAAGTGAAACCTTGCACGTATCTCTTGGCCACGTCAAGCCTTAATTACATTACTATTATGATGTAGATTATATAAGGACTTGTATGGGATGGTTTGGATAGTGATGATCATGCCTCCAGCAAGGGGTTAGGCCAGATGACCTCTGAAGGGCTAGAAGGGACCTACTTTTCTATGATCTTGTTTATATGTAAGATTGCAAGCTATCATTTCAGAATTCAATGAAACATCTGTGATCTACACCTCATGTATATTATTAGCCCAAAACTTTGTGCGCTTTCTCAGTCTTTGGAAATTTGTCATAGTCCGTTGGGGCTCAAATTGCTAAAAAATGATTTAGTGCTTTTACTTACTATTCTATTACATTTTACCAATATAGCATGAGAATGAAATGGGAGTTGAAAAATTAAAAGAATAAAGCAAATTCTGCAATCAATTACTGCAGTTTTTTGCTTGTTCTTATTAATTGTGATACTAAAAAAATAATAAATAAATTGCAGTGTTGGTTTCCTAGGGTTTAAATATGAATTAGCCAAGCAGTCCTTCAACTTCTTAAGTCAAGTAGCCCCTTAAGCATCTAATTGCACCAGAAGTTTTGTATGGAAACTGTTTAGTGTGGTTTTAAATCCTGCTTAACCATGGTGACCCAAAATATGCTGAGACACAAATATTTCATTTTCCTTATTTAGAGAAATTATATTGTTTTGCGTGTAAACACTTAAGAAGCATCTGTGTGGTTAAGTATAATGTAAACCTGTTGTGCATGATTGACAGGAATTCTAAGGTGTGAAAGCTAAGTTAAAAGTTTCATATGTGCCGTGTAAGGATTTTTTTTCATGTTATTGTCTAAACATGAAATGGGGGGGGGGGGGTTATTTTTTTAACTTGAGTTCAAGAATAATAGAATTTATTTTAATGTAGTTCTTAACAGATACTTAACACAATCTGCTTAAAAAAAGCTAAGCTCATTTTGACTCGATACAGAAAGCTAGTAGTTTGGGGGACATAGTGATCTTCCTCCTCCTACCCAACACAACAATTCAAATACACACAGATTTGATATTAAAAATAGAAATATTCATGGACAAAGAGTTGCTTTTTAGTTTCATTTTAGGAAGCCATAGCAGTCTAATTTTACAGTATGTGGGAACAACAATAAGCTAGCAGAACACCAGTGCTTGATCTTCTGGTACTTAACCTGAAAGAGGATGAATTGTATTTCCTAAGCAACTACTCTGCAGGAGGTCTCAAAGGGCGCTTGTACATATGACATGGGTTTAGTCCCTTAAATTGAAATGGTGGGTTTTTAATTGCAATGATTTAAAAAAAAAAAAAAAACCCCACTGTTTCAATTTAGGGGCTTCTGTTACTGTGACATGAGGGGCACAGTTCTTCTCCCACCCTCCCCTGCCCCTAGGGCACCTGCCTGCCTCTCTGTGTGGGCTCAGGGAAGGGTTGAATCTGGTGGGTGCTGCCTGCAAGCTGGGGCAGCACCCATGCAGCTAGCACTGTGCTTGGGTGGCCCCAGGGGGGCACCACTGCTGCGGAGGGAGGGTGTGGGCTTGCACCTCTCCCCCCTGCTGCTCGTGTGGGCAGACTATGCTGGGGGGGTGGGCTGGAGGAAGGAGGGGCCTGATCCTCCCCCCATGCAGCCTACCCACCTTTCCCGCAGCTAGGGGGTGAGCTGCCAGCAGGCCCTGAGCTGCGAGGGGCCCTGGTCCGTCCTTCCAACACGGCAGTGCACCCCGGGGCCACTGCCACGACAGAAGGAAGGGCCAGGGCCCCCCGCAGCTTATCCCACTGGCAGCTCACCCCTCCTGCCACGGGAGACATGGGCAGGCTCTGTGGGGGTAGAGGGGAAAGGATCATTCCCTCGCCATTTCTGGCTTCAGCCCACTGCTCCTGTGGTGGGGTGAGCTGTCAAATGGCGGCAGCGGTACAAATATCTAAGCGGGTGTGGTTTAGTTTGCAATGTAATAAACTAATTTAAATTTAAAAAAAAAAACAAAAAAAAAAAAACCAAAAACCAAAACCCTGCACATGTATAGTGTGATGCAATTAAACCACAAAAACGGCCAATTTGCGTCACGTGTATGATTATCCAAAGTCTTTCATTATTGAAGAGAACATTTCTTATGGATTAGATCCTATACCCATGCTCTGGAGAGTATAGTCTGCATCCTCCCCTGCCCTCTGTAGCACAAGTCCTAAACATGAACATGCAGTTTGTTCCTGGTTTTTTAGGCTTATGCAAATAAACAGAGTTGACTAGAGGCACTAATTTAGTTTCAATTGAGTGATCTACAAAAAGGATTCTTAATTAGATTAATGTAATTTATTAGCCCATATGACAAAGTGTATCCTCATACCGTACCTGATATCACCTGACTCTCTTCATGAAGGTGAGCAGTGAAGTTGTTCGGTCATTTATAATGTCTTTGAAACCAGCTGTTCCTCATTAAATTGATTGTCACAAACTATTCCCAAGGCATGCTCTGCATCACTGATGGCAACATCTGTTAGAAAATAAATCTGTTTGAGTGTTTGCAGATTAAAACGTATCTATTACCTACAACATTTCTGTAGTTGCGTATAGTATGGTAACGATTGGTAGTTTGGGATCAGTATCCTGCTGTACACTTATCTTTTAAGAAAGAATCATTGCAAAACAGTAACAAAGAGAAGTAATGGGATATTTTGTAACTTCAAAAGAATATTCTCTGTTTATCACCTGTCTTTCAAAAAAAAAAATGTGAGTTATAATGGAAGTGTCATTTAAAATCATAACATACAATAAGCCCTCCCATTGCATTTTTAATATTATAACATATTGTCTCTCACACTGCGTTAAAATGGAGTTAAGATTAAATCTGTACCAGTACTTTAAATGAAAGGATTGAAAGAGTGCATAAACTTCCCCCAAATCTTTACATGCTAGGCTTTAGGCATTCAAAGCTAAGCTTAAACTTAAAGAAATGCAAATATGGTGTAGTATAAAATGTGTAGGAAAGGCATCCAAACAACTGAAATTATTCCATATAATGAAATGATGCAGTGAATCTTCAATTATGATGGCAACAATCAATACATTGTAATGTTTGTACTCCTGCATTACATTAAATGCACATTTTATTCCCCTCCATTCTGTTAGTACAGATGGGAACTAAAGTGTCTGGATGGCTTCCTACACATTTTGGATTTGAAGTTCCTGGGTTACTAATGTTTCCAAGAGTAATAATTACCACATCGTTATAAAGCTTCTACCCTTCTATTACTGATACTTACTTGCATCCAGATAACTGTCCTCATGGTTTCTGCTTCTTTTGCCCATGCACCCATGCATGTGGAATCAGATTCTTTTGGCCAGCAGCATCCATCAGGCTGTATTTCAAATCCTGCATGCTCCACCCGAATGCACAAAGCATGGATTTGGACCTAGCTGCCCCTCCACTCCTGACTCCTCATATGAATAACAGAAAATTCCTGCAGGGTCCACTTACACTGCACACTGTCATTAGATGTCAGGCTAGTTCTTTAGATGGCTTAGTTTGTTGCTTTTCTCTCTCAATTAACATTTTTAGAATATGCTAGGGATACCCGTGATAGTAAATAGTTGCCATGGTTGAAAGTAAATCACCAGGGTTTGAATCATGTTCCTCTTATGTGGCTGCTGTACTGCTCATTGATAAACACCCTAGGAGCCTCTTCTGCTTTAGCAAGTGGTATACCATGTTTACGCATACAGCTTCCCCCCAGATATCAGCCCTCCAAAAGGATGTGTATTTTAATCAGGGAAGCTGATTTTCTTTACCAAAACTTCACTGCAACGAGACATAGAAGAGTAAGGACACCATGCTACAAGATGGCTACCAGTTTTATTCCAAAACATGCATATGGTGGATATGTAGTGCTGAGGTAGACCCCAAAACTTACCAAAAACTAGTGCCAATTTGCCTTCCAGAAGCAAGCTTCATGTCTTATTTGGGGTCATATGGTATGCAAGGAAATATGGTACTGCCCCTGGTTCTTTGCGAGGAAATCTGTTTCAAGCTTTTCTTTCAGAGCATTGAATTAAGGGCCTCTTCAGAGCCAGAGACTAAAAATCCTTCTAAGATTTGACAGAAAGGGATAGAAAAGATCATCACTTCCAGAAGAAAAAACCCAAAACATCACCTTCGCAGAAGCCTAAGAAGTTTCCATCACTATATTAATTCATGCTTCTCAGCTGACAGCAAGTTCAGGGCTCAAGTCCAGTTCCTCTGTCCTGGCACTGGCAAAGAGGTACTTATCTCTGTTTCAATAGGTATAGGCTAACTTCGTATCAGACTCGGCATTTTCGGTCATTACCTACCGCAGATGTTTCCACCACTGGTTTTCTCTGTATTGTCATCATGATCATATAACTGGAATTACCCCTGTTCGCCTTGTCTTCTGTGAGAAGTTGCTGCTGGAGCTGTCAAAAACTGGGACTAGATTTCAGGAAGATCCTTTTGTGGAGGCTAGGGTAGTTCTACAATCGGCTTCTGTTAAATCAAGCCTTTTTTTTTTTTTTTAAGGCCCATTCTTTGTCTTGCATCCCGATACGTACTTGTAAGTGTCAGGTTTATCCGCTTTAGCTATACTCCTGTTGAAACCCAACTGTCTGAACTTCGTGGAGAATTTTCAGTGCAATCCAAAAGATAACATAAGATCATTGGTGTCAAAATTAGTACTTGGAGGGTGCATCTACGAGTCACCCTGCAGCGAATTGTAGTGGTGACAGTGCTAGCTACACCCAGAATATCTCTGCCAATTGATCTAGATTTTACCGTCACTACTTTCTAATCCTGTTAAACAGACTAGGTCCCAATCTGGATTTGAGTATTCTTAACAGCTTCATTGGTCATTCTAAATTTAGGAGGATGACTCCAATCAGCATATTTCCCTCACTGAATTTCAGAATTTGTTCATCGCTCTCAAGCAGCAGGTGCTTCCTTCCACATATCTAACTATTAGCAGTTCG